TTACTTGTATAATTATGACAATGAACTTCTGAAGTAAAAATGGAAATTATAATGCCTTGAAGCTTTATTGATGATAATGAACTACTGAAGTAAAAGTTCAGAAGGTTTTGAAGATTTGAAGCATTACTTATAATATTGAACTTTTGAAGTAAAAGTAAAGAAGAATTTAATGGCCTAAGATATTAGTTACTAATGTAAACGAACTTCTAAAGTGTAAGTGAAGAAGATTGTTTTGCCTTGAAGCATTGCTTATGATATTAAACTTCTGAAGTATACCTGAAAAAGATTATAATGCTTTGAAGTATAACTCATAGGTACAAATCTGAAGTATACCTGAAAAAGATTATAATGCGTTGAAGTATTACTCATGATAATGAAGCCCTGAGGTATAATTGAAGAGGATTATAATGCCCTGAAGCTGTAACATTGAGGTATTATCATACCTAATACCATGGTGTAGATGTACTACAGAGGTGGCGGTGAGACAGACTAGTGGTTGTGAGCCACCATTCACAAGAATGTCTGGGAGAGGTGGAGATAGGCGAGTGCCCACTGAATGAACAAACGGCACATACATTCATTCTGTTTATCGGGTCAGTCATACTCTAGCTATTGCCATTCCGTCAGTAGGCCAACAAGCTATAAATATCCAGTTCACTCGCTGTGATGTAAACCTAGGCCACATTGATGTCAATCCCATGCACAATCAAAAAATTAGAAAATGTTCAAATGAATTCTGGTTAGGTGTGTTCGTAACTTCGGTGAGAGGTGTGTTCTGCGAGTGCATGTAGGCCCTGAGTGATGGTGTAACTTTCGTACATTGTGTACCAGAACACTTGTTTATCCCCTCAGCTCGCTATATTTAGTACAGCAGGTGTATTTTTAGAACAGGTTCTGACCATTAGCTGCCGTTCCGCAATATTTCACTGATACAAATCCCATTCAAGCTTTATTAAATACAGCACTGTTGCTGCTGTAGAGATGGAGTACAGTATTCACACAAGAACATTTGACACAAATCTTGGCATTTCGTTTTAACTAATAAGTAGCATACTAAGTTATGTTAAACCAGCATATGGAAAAATAAATTTTACTTTGAATATGGAAGAAAAATTGAACACATCACAAGGAGCATAAGCCAGACAATAAGGATACGGTTTTCAATAGAGAGGTTTTGACATGGAAAGTAAAGAAAAATATAAAAACTGTGGTTTACATAATAGCATTATAATAAGAGGGAGAGGAAAAGTTCACTAGACTAGAAATCTCAATCAAGATCATTTGATTAGATGCATTTTGACTGTATGATAGGTATACTGTGTTATGTTGACAGTATATACCTTTGTTATGTTGACAGTATATACTTGTGTTATGTTGACAGTTGTATATACCTGTGTTATGTTGACAGTATATACCTGTGTTATGTTGACAGTATATACCTGCGTTATGTTGACAGTTGTATATACCTGTCAGTATTATGTTCACAGTAGTATATACCTGTCAGTGTTATGTTGACCGTATATACCTGTGTTATGTTTATAGTAGTATATACCTGTGTTATGTTCACAGTTGTTTATACCTGTGTTATGTTGACAGCTGTATATGCCTGTGTTATGTTGACAGTATATAACTGTGTTATGTTGACAGTAGTACATACCTGTGTTATGTTGACAGTCGTATATACCTGTCAGTGTTATGTTCACAGTAGTTTATACCTGTCAGTGTTATGTTCACAGTAGTTTATACCTGTGTTAGGTTGACAGATGTATATACCTGTGTTATGTTGATAGTAGTCTATATATATCTGTGTCATGCTCACAGTAGTCTATACCTTTGTTATGCTCACAGTAGTCGATACCTGTGTTATGCTCACAGTTGTACCTACCTGTCAGTGTTACATTGACAGTTGTCTATTCCTGTGTTATGTTGATAGTAGTCTATATATATCTGTGTTATGCTCACAGTAGTCTACACCTATGTTTTGCTCACAGTAGTCTATACCTTTGTTATGCTCACAGTAGTCGATACCTGTGTTATGCTCACAGTAGTCTAAACCTGTGTTATGCTCACAGTTGTACCTACCTGTCAGTGTTACATTGACAGTAGTTTATACATATGCTATGCTCACAGTTGTACATACGTGTGTTATGCTCACAGTAGTCTACACCTTTGTTATGCTCACAGTAGTCGATACCTGTGTTATGCTCACAGTTGTACATACCTGTCAGTGTTACATTGACAGTAGTTTATACATATGTTATGCTCACAGTTGTACATACCTGTGTTATGCTCACAGTAGTCTATACCTGTGTTATGCTCACAGTTGTACATACCTGTCAGTGTTACATTGACAGTTGTCTATACCTGTGTTATGTTGACAGTAGTCTATATATATCTGTGTTATGCTCACAGTAGTCTATACCTGTGTTATGCTCACAGTTGTACATACCTGTCAGTGTTACATTGACAGTAGTTTATACAGTGTACCTGTCATTATAGTGAACTGTCTGGGTTATGAACCTTTCTATAAGTATTAGTACGGCACAGCTCCTCCTATATAGAAGGAAAACTAACCACATGATTTACACATCCACACTGCCAGCTTTATCTTGGATTTAGGTTTATCTCTTAGCTAATCTTTGCAACTGCCATTTCTTTTCCTTCTGTTGGTAAATACATGCTGAGATCCCATCTAAGGGCCACGGACTAACTCTAAAATAAGAAGAAAAACCCCATCTGTGAAGTGATTGTGTATAGAATGTTGTGGTTCACAAACAAGAAATGTTTATAAATGTAACCATATTTTTTCAAAGATAAGCATATTACTCGTTTACAGATTAATTTTTGTTTGTTTGTTATATTATATAATTCGCACTTGTATGTTGTTGAAAAATCAAGTGATGATGTGGTTAGTGTAACACATAATATATCAGTCGAGGAAGATAATCCTGTGGGGAGCCCCAGCTAACAGCAACACAATGGTAGGAAAAGCACCTGCGAAGCTGACACCTTTATACGCTTCAGTGTTCTAGCAGATTTAGTGGTAGGGGAGAGAGAGAGGGTTCTTCACCCGACACCTTCACACACATCTCACAATGAACCAGTACTACCGATCAACCACCGTCATACAATCTTGGAAATCAATTTACCGAACATTATTATTCATGAAGCAGGTATATTTAGGTTTTCGCCTTCAAGCTTGCCCCCTATCCTGCTTTCGCTAAACACACTGCCATCTTTTTACTTGCCGTCTCACAATGCTGAAAACAGAGCCGTAATTCAGAGCCTGGCAGATGATCATGAGGCACGCCTGCTCCATACACAAATGGCAGATTTAGGACGAGGGCTGTATTCTCAGCACGCCTGAGCAACAAGATCATTGTGTGGCAGCAGTGTAGTTTTAAATATATTTTAAAACCATATCGGTTGCCGCTTCCTGATATTTAACTTTATCAGTTGGTAGGTGAAGTAGGGTAGGTTCAGTACTACTGGAAATTGGACTGAATTCGCAGCTTAAACACATTATGAGAGCTTATGCAGGGATTCAGAAACTACATAATTGCTTATCAGCAATAGTGCTAATATGTTTCAAGTGGGAAATATTTAATTCCGGTTCAGAGATACATTGTGCAGACAGTAGCCAGTTTTATACATAGACGTTTGACCTTGATGGAAGTGGTGCCAAGGTCAGTGTCCATAGCACTCCATCATATGTATAACTTATCTTAATACAGCATCTATAGAAACAGTCAGGTCTTAATGAGCTTACATTTTAGCCCATACAGTTAAACCTGTTCTTGTTTCACTGCCATTAACCCATTCACCCCTGAAGTCACATTTGAAGCTTACCAAATCGAAGAATGGGCAATTCCAGCTTAGAAATGTAGGGGTGAATGAGTTAAGCAGTTGAGAGTCAACATTACCTTTTTCTTAAAATCTGACAGTTTTTCATATGCCTTCTTCCGAGCTTTGCTGCAGCAGCTGGTACCCCATTGTACAGCTGGGTAGGCATACATGTACCTATTAGTCTTATCATGATTATATTAAACAGAGGTCAAAGATATGTTATCGTATAAATCATTGAAATACTATATTTATATTAAATATTTTCAGATGATGTGTTCAGTTGTTTCTATTTTATCATATGCTCGCAGCAAAGATACCAGTTGTGGTTGTTCTGGAAATGTAACAAGATGAGTTGGTTTATTGTGACACTGTCACGTAAATGTGATACAAAGAATCTTAGACTTGTTCCCATTTCATACACATGTAATGCACATGAAAATTACCAATGCTTGCATTGTTTCATAAAATTTGTATGTACTCTCTAAGAGATGCTGCATAGACAGACTTGTTCCAATTTCATATAATGCACAGGAAAATAACTGATGCCTGTTTCATAAAAATTCTATGTACTGTGTAAGAGATGCTGTATCAGCTTTATAGAACAGTATGTGGATCCATTATGTACATTGTATAAGTTGTGACAGGTAGCATACATATTATATCAATGTATCCATTAATATTGTCTCTCACACTTTTCTTGATTTCCTTGCTTTTGAGACTAGATTGAATTAAATTTCCAGCTGTTTTTCACAAATTCTACCTGGTGTAATCATCTTCCATTGCAGAGTTATATATTCCAGGTCATCTACAACTTTCATTCAAATTGATTCTGACAAAAAGATATGAGAGAGTTATGGTTCTCAAAATAACGTAGAAGGAAATGATGCTTGGAAAGGTTTTTGGTTTTGGTACACTTTCATACATGATTTAAATGAATGGATGTGCGTTTCTGGGACATCTTGGTGATAGAAATAAAAATAAAGTCAGAATTGTTAAAAATAATGTCAGAATTGTTAAAAATAATGTCAGAACTGTTTAAAAGGACATGATAATCTCAGAATTTAAGAAAGAAACTAAATACAATGGTAGAAACTGTAGTTAATTGACAGGTATCTATGGGTACAACAATTAACATTTTATCTTTGTCTTTTCAGCACTGGAAGGATGTGTCAACTGCTGCTAAGGACTTCATTGACAAACTACTGATTGTGGACCCGAATGTGCGAATCGGGGCCAACCAGTCTATAAATCACACATGGTTGGTGACCAATGCGGCCAGCTCCAGCAACAAGAACCTTCATCGTACAATAAGTCAGAACCTCATACACCGACAATCCATCCGTGCCAACAGTACGAAAAGTGCCAAATCCACACGGTCAACTAAAAGCAATAAGTCCAACCGATCTGGCCGCTCGTTACGGTCGGAGCACAGACGTGTTCAGCCGGAGGAAATTGACGAGCTTCATCGTGACCCAGATGTACAGGCGGACCTGGCGTCACTGGGTTGAGGTGCCCTCCTGGTCTATATACTGGTATCTACATTTGTTTGTTCCACAACATCGAACCTACTGCCATGTCACAACGACAACCTCTAAAAAGGAGAGTTCTCGCTCAATCTTTAACTTTCGTCCTGTCCTTATATATGGGATGCAAAGAATTTGCGAGGCCAATGCAAATAAGTGAGAGTTGACTTTTTCAGGAGCCACCATTTGTTCAGAGTGTTTCATGCCTGATAGACTTAATCTCGGGGAACTATACACATATGTTACGTTGCTGGAGTCACACGAACAATAAGGATGTGTCTTCTTTCATGGAAGGGTATAGACAGTCGACCACCACCCCCTCACGCCACGCGTCATACATCTCCCTCAATCTCGTTAATACACGGTCACCCTAAGACGATGTCCCAACCAGTCCGGATACACAAATCCTGTATTTGGATGTCTCCCATATCTGGACTTCATCAATAGATACTGTTAGTGTTGTGTTGTCAACCAAGGGAACATCTGTAAACCGCACTATTCCATCATGTCTGTTAATCCCAATTTCAAGTGCGGTTCAATTCCATCAAACCTATAAACTCCCCATGTGAAAGCTGTTCCATCATATCTGCATCCCCCTTACACCGGCTATTACATCATATTTGCATACCTACACAACCTTAAAATTGCTTGAGCTGTTCCAATACATCTGCAGCCTCCCTTGCATAAAACCATCATCAATGCAATAGAGACATGGAAAGGACACCCTGTGGAGAAGCCAAATGAAACTGAGGAAATATATAGATATTTGACAGACTTTATCTATGATTGCATGGATTAAATATGGATATAGGTGGACATACAATGTATAAACTTTCGCAATATTATGTTTTGTGATTAGTTTTCTTCTTAACCATGTTCCTTTCTTTTGTTATTTGTAGCTGTGATAATTGTCTACAAAATGTTCTCCCTGTTGCAAGTTTAGTTTTATCAAAAGTGCTTTATGTTCATGACTGTTCCGGTGTGTTAATCTGTTTCTCTAGTTTGTACAGGATGGTTATTTTTTATCCTGATATTTCTTCACCAAGTTTTGATAATCACATCTGCCTAATTTGTATGCATTTAAAACCCAATTATTCACGACCTTAACCTATTTATACTCTTTTTCTCATTTAAGGGTCATATTTAATCTGCAAAAGAAACCATAAGGTCATGATCACATCACTGTAAAGCTAGATGTTTGAGATTATCTTAATAGTAATTGGTAATTAATGTGCAAGTTGCAGTTTGTTCTGTGTTAACCAGAATTTGATTGAATAATATCTTGAATGTCTTCATGTATTTGTAGACAAACCTAAGCAAATATTTGTGATCATACAAAAATCAACATCAATTGTAGTTGTTTTATTGAAACTGATCTGTCATGTGATCAATTATTTTGAAGGTCACCTTAAGCTTGAAGGTTAAAAATGTCCCTTCCTGTGAGTGAATAATATGTTAAAGGTTATGTTGCTGAAGGTCCCACCTGGAGAGGTTGCTATGGCGATGGATTTGTTTGTGCCAAATGTTTGTTGGTTACAGTGTATTATACCTGTGTTAATCTAGTCAGTGTTGTTATGATCAGCTGGACAGCCTACAAAACAATACCATTGTGCTTTGAAGGGTATATTATTTATTATCAGGCTGTGTGCTGCGGAGTTGAAGTACATATATCGGCCCAGCCAAGGTGGACTGTGATCAATTATTGCGTGAGGATTAAAAAGATGCTACTTTTGTGTATTTTAAACATGTGATACATGTTTCATAATGTTTTTAGAGAAGAGGTTGTTTATTTGAAACTGCCAATGATATTTAGTGTTTTTCACAATAGAATTATTCAGATAAAAATATCGAAAAGAATAGTTTGGAAATCTTTGGAACCAACAAATAAGTTCAGTTATTTATTGTACTTTGGTTTCCGTATCGACGGCTCTGGCGAAATTGATTATAGAAGAATAGATCTGTCTTTTGTCAGTTACAACTCCACACTGAAGGTCTTTATTTATTTATACCTTCGTACCACCAACCTTTAGTCCAGTGGCCTCATCATGATCAGTGTACAAGGGCTGTGAAGGTCTCTATTTATATTATACCTTTGTACCACCAACCTTTAGTCCAGTGGCCTCATCATGATCAGTGTACAAGGGCTGTAATATTTGTTTTTAACTTTTGATCCATCAACTTGTGCAAATGTTTAGAGATGTTTCTGCCTGTGTGGATTTCTATGTTTTGTTATACATCAAATCTGTCCATGCTGACAATAGTGCTTTCTGTTATACTTTTGTAGTTGCCTTATGTCACGTTTAATGTCGCTTTTATATTTTTTATGTTATTGCATAGATAGTTTTTTGGTTTATAATAAAATTATCATAAGAAATTGATTGTGATCGGAAAGTATTATAAAACTGAAAAGGTAAAAAAATGAATTGTTTGTGGTTAAGGCTGGGTTAAAACCTGATAATGTATTTTCAACGGAGTATGCATGTTTTTTTTTTAATTATTAGCAGTCAAATGTATGTGATGTCCCCAGGGAATTTAGCAGTGAATATCAGTAGTGTCCCTTTAGTGTTTAGAGTTGGAGTATCCATGGTTTCTCCAATGTCTGTATGTACCAGTCCAGTATCATTTCCATCCTTTGTCAGGGGTCAATCAATTGCATCTCCAGAGTCCTTAGCACTTTAGTATGGGGGATCATTACGGGAGCTTACAAGCATTCGAGTATCAGGGTTTCCATGACTTAGTATACCGTCCATTACTTACATCATACTCATATATGTTATAACCGTTACAGTGTAATAATTGTTATAGGACCTGTCGGTTGATTCAGGCATATTGACAGCTGGCGATCTCTGCCCGGTCACGATCATAGCTTACATCACGGTTGCCATATAGCGAGTATGCTGTCAGGTGTTACAGCATACAGTTGGTACACAGGTGTACAGTATATTTATGTATATTGTGTACAATATAGTGAACTCTAATTATGTCCCCTTGTGTACAGTCATTAAGATTGAATTTATGTACATATTGCTGTAATTAATGTTGTTCACAAGGTTAAAAATTTGTCCAAGAGGTTAAAGATTGTTGACCCTAGGACTGGGCTATTTAGGTAAATATAATAACAGATTAGTGTGTCTAATGGCCAAATGAGTACATTGTATATGTATGTTTCAGATATTTTTTTAGAATCGTAGATTTTTTCCCCAATTAACTCTAATCAATGAAATACAAAGGACATACTAGAGAGTTTGAAGGGGGAAAATGTGTCCTTCTTCCAAATGTTTGAACTGGGAATAGGTCGGGATTAAATTTGTTGATCTGGAGCTGTAAATTTTGTACATAAGTGATGGCCTTCGAGATATTGGGCCAATTAGAAGACAAAAATGAATCGTTGATTTTCTAATGGTATTTTGTATGATTCCTCGTAACCATGGTAACACTGTCTTGTCAATTCTACCCCAAATTTAGATCAGGTCCCAATCATTTTACTTGTAGCACAACAGGTAGCTGATCAATTGTGACAGTCACATTGTCACCTTCGATATCATACATCACCATAGCAACTGTGTTTGGTAAAATCATACTTTTGAAAGGCACCCAGTTTAATGATTCCTATACCTTCTGCACTAAATTCAAATTTCTTAGAATATTTAAGTTTATTTTGTTATGTATTAAAGTAAGTTTTATACAAAATCATTTTGTGAATGTGTTTCAACAGATCATGTATTAATTTATAATAGCACTAAATTCAAATCTTAGATCAGTAACATGTGTTAGATCATGTATTAAGGTGGCACTAAAATCAATCATTCAGATGAATATGTTTGATAATTATAACTGTATTGTGTGATGAAAGGCACCAATTTCAAACATTTTAACTCAAGTTTGATGTAAACATGTTTGATAAATCATGTGTTAATATCATACCAACATTTATTGTTTTGCAACTTAACTTTGAACAATTTTTTTTTTATGTTTGATTTAGGGGTAGGTAGTTTACATGGATATTTATTTTAAACTAAAAACATTATAACGAGAAAGAAAAGATGAAACTTTTGTCGATCAAAACAGAAAAAAAAATCAAACTGAAGTTGTGGTTAACATTTACGAGTATGATGACTTGATTTAGAGTTGTGTAATGGATAATAAAATCTGTAACAGACAATTTGAAAGCAAATAAACTATTTATACAATTGTGTGTCTGTGCAAGTTGCAGACAAAGTATATCGTTTTTAACAATCATATTTTTTCATGCTATATTCTTATATTAGAATTAACAAAACCGTCCATTTTTTGTTGCTAAAGCAACTCTTTATTATTTTACTTTTAACAGATACCGTCCATTTTTTAATCACAAGTGTGATTTTAATGGCATATACATTAAACTGTTTTTTACTCTGGGTTATTGTTGGATGCCGACAGGAGGCAAAATGCTGGGAGGGTGATCTCCCCTGGTTGTCGGGTATTCGTGTTACAAGTGCTGTCATCTTCATGCATTAGTATATCTGATCAGTCCGATCAGTAGGTGTTAACATACAATAAACTTTATTATTTAAACTGTTTTATGTCTTATTTTGTTTGTTTAACAGGTTTGTAACCTGCATATTGACAGCTTGGGTACCTGCATATTAACAGGTTGGTTACCTGAATATTATCTGTATATTGAGCAGGTTGGTATCCTGTGTAACAAAAGGTTGGCTACCTGTATATTGACAGGTAGGTTTCCTGTATATATTGATGGGTTGGTTATCTGTTAAACAACAGGTTGGTTACCTGTATATTAACTTGTAGGCTACCTGTATTACAACAGGTTGGTTTCCTGTATAACAACAGGTTGGCTACCTATATATTAACAGGTTGGCTACCTATATATTATATTAACAGGTTGATTACCTGTATACATCTTAAGGGTTCCTACAGACCATGAAAAATAGTGTGAATTTACTTTGATGGAATTTTGAAAAACTATTTAATCTAAATATTTAAAAAAAAAATACTGCTTAAAAAGTGTTTGAATCAATGTTTTTGTTTAAAACCGTATTTCAGTGAAAACAATAATTTCACTGAAAACAACTGACAAATTTGGGAAAGTAGCATGATTTTACTGCCTAATATATGCATCTGTACAGTTAAGAAAATTGCTATAGCTATCTGTGTTCCTCTGTAAGTCTATCACTATCGTCTCATCAGAATGGTGGGGATTCGACTTTGCAACTCCCTTATCTAGATAAAAACTTGAAATAATATATATTTAACTTTCCTTGCAAATTAATGCAAAATGCATAGTGTATAGCGATAAATTGTAATTCATTCACATTTAGTTGAAATTGGACCACTTTCAAGGCAGTTATTGAAAGGAAGTCAATGGACAAATCAAAGTGTGTAGCTTCATTAATTATGCATAAATATGCATTCGTCAAATTAGCAATAAAACAGCTCAACCTTGCCGATTCGAATGTTGACACCAAATTTTGTTGAAGTCGAACCATTTTAAGGGTGTTGCAGCACACATTCAAACCTGTCGGACACAATCCAATCGAAGGCAAGGCAGTTATTGAAAGGAAGTCAATGGACAAATCAAAGTGTGTAGCTTCATTAATTATGCATAAATATGCATTTGTCAAATTAGCAATAAAACAGCTCAACCTTGCCGATTCGAATGTTGACACCAAATTTTGTTGAAGTCGAACCATTTTAAGGGTGTTGCAGCACACATTCAAACCTGTCGGACACAATCCAATCGAATATCCCAATTATTTCCAAAAGCAGCGAAAATAAATGTGAGATAAGTGATGTTGACAAATGGATCTACATATTAATTGGGGTAAATTGAGTAATATTGACATATAAGTTTATATAAAAAAGTCGGAATGAGGAAGATTGTCTTGACAACTGGATATATATATATATATATACACATGTAACAGGAGATGGAGGAATGCACAGCAAGACCAGGGTTCGAACCGAGGACCCTCTTGGACTCTTAGATGGATGCTCTACCAATTGATCTACCGTGTCACTGACGATTCTCCCCTCCTTTTCCTAAGTCATCGTCCCAGAATACACTACTGTTTACAACCCAGGTTCGGGTATCCCCTTGCCAGGCGTACACCCAATGCTTGAAACAAGAGTTTGTCACAGGCACCACTGTAACAGGAGATGAAGGAATGCATGGCCAGACCGGGGTTCGAACCTGGGACCCTCCAAACTCTACTTAGAAGCTCTACCAATTTTTGCTACCTGGTCACCGATGATTTACCCAGTACAGTTCCGCTACACACAAAGACTAGGAGTTAGAAGGTTACCTGACAATTAGCTATACATAGACAATAGGTAACAAGAGTATAGGTGTCCATTGTTGACCTGGTACACAAACACTACTCACACCCTACCTTATAGTCCATTTGGGATTATACACTACACAAATATTGACAAAACTCCAGATACATAATGTAAGCAAATTTTTAAATCTTGTCCCAATTTCATTGACTACAAAGGAAACCGACAGAGATAAACATGTTTGTTATATATTGATGTTAAAACTAAATGTGTCATCAATTAAGAAATCCATGTGCTATATACCACCAAATGAGCACAGATTTCAATTGTGTTTACAACAAAATTTGTACAGAACTTGATTCCCACCAGACATGTTTGAAGTAGCTTGAAATGGTAATTCAAAAGTACATTCTTGTTTAGATTTTCAAAACACAATCTATAAACCTGCTGATTTCACCAAAAGGGCACTATTAATCCTTTCACCCCTAGGTAATTTTACTAGACTCTACCATACATTTATCTGGGTGAGTCCATTATGGTCTATACTGGTGAAAGGGTCAAGTCTCTAGATTAGTCACCACGTGTCTGTGACAATTACTAGCGTTCATTTATTCATTCTTTATTACCTTAAACCTTGCGGTTTATCAGTACAGTGCATATATATATATAAAAGTGTACAGAGAATACCTACAACCTAACTATAACTACCACCTGTCTATACCAACTGTCTACCTGTACAACTACCACCTGTCTATACCTACTATCTACCTATACAACTACCACCGGTCTATACCTACCTATACATATATACCACCTGTCAATAACTACTATCTACCTATACATATACCACCTGTCTATACCTACTATTTACGTATAAATATACAACCTGTATATACCTTCTATCTACCTATACATATACCACCTGTCTATACCTACTATTTACCTATAAATATACAACCTGTATATACCTTCTATCTACCTATACAACTACCACCTGTCTATACCTTCTAGCTACCTGTACAACTACCACCTGTCTATACCTACTATCTACCTATACATATACCACCTGTCCATACCTACTATCTACCTATACATATACCACCTGTCTATACCTACTGTATAAGTGGATAGTAGATATAGACAGGTGGTATATGTATAGGTAGATAGTAGGTATAGACAGGTGGTAGTTGTATAGGTATATAGTAGGTATAGACAGGTGGTATATGTATAGGTAGATACATGTACCTATCTACCTATACATATACCACCTGTCCATACCTTCTAGCTACCTGTACAACTACCACCTGTCTATACCTACTATCTACCTATACATATACCACCTGTCCATACCTACTATCTACCTGTACAACTACCACCTGTCTATACCTACTGTATAAGTGGATAGTAGATATAGACAGGTGGTATATGTATAGGTAGATAGTAGGTATAGACAGGTGGTAGTTGTATAGGTATATAGTAGGTATAGACAGGTGGTA